AAAGAAATGAGATGATTCTGAATGCATGCATGCAGTGTATGACTTTACCACGGGCAGCATGCCTGACTTGACTCCCCAGAGCAGCTTTCTGCACTGGGGACTTCCTTAATGGAAACTGGTCATATAATTATATTTATTATCAATTTGACCTAATTGTGAGATTTCCCTTCCCGTTCTTGTAGAACTCCATCTTCTTTAAAGATACTTATGTAACCTTATAATAATGGTACTTCAAGTAATGGCTTCTGTTTATATTCATAGACATTTCTGAGGGATTTAAGATAAGAGATTTGCTAATATTTAAGTAAAGCTGAGGAATTTGACTCAGCAAGCATGTATTAAACATTATTATGTGTTAAGCACTGTACCAGATGCCCTGAGTGAGGCCCCTACCCTCAGAACTTGCATGGTGATGGAGAGATAGGATCTGTACTCAACTGTGCTACAGGACTCTGTGTATCTAGTGTTATCAAAATAGAAGCACAGAGGAAGTACTGCTGAATTTCATCTAGGAACTTCAAGGAAGGCTTCATGGAGGAAGCTTCTTTTTTGCTGGACTTTGACATGTGGGTGGGCAGAGGTTAAATGTATATGTGTGGTAGAGATGGGCATTCGTGACCACAGAAGGAAAATTTGCTCAGTGCTTGTTATCTGCCCATCACTCTGTTGGAATTGGGAATGTAGAGATGCCTGGGGTACTTAGGTTGACTGGACTATGGGGGAAGGGAGAGAAAGGAAAAAGTGGCAGGAAGTTATGAAGGAGAGTAAACCTGGCTGCCAGGCTAGGGTCAGTTGGCAGTGGCCTCCGTGCTATGGAGCTTGGGTTTAATTCAGGGGCAGTGGAGCCCCTGAAAGGTTTTTGAACAGCACCATGATCAAACTGTCTGTATTGAGGAGCTTGCCGTCTCTTACAGTTATAGTGTCTTATTTTTTTTCATTCAATCCTCATAGTGGCTCCATGAGACAGGACTTCTTATCCCATTTTGCAGATGAGAAAGCCAAGGCTTAGCAAAGTTAAGTATCTTGTTCACGGCGACATTTACACTAATAAGTCGAGGAGCTGCAGGTCGAGCCCCAGTCTCTAAACTTGACTCCAAAGCCTGAACCTGCAATGAGAAAGATAGGCTAGAGAAAGAGTAAGAAGCAAAAAAGCTCATTGGGAGCCTGTGGCAATTGTCCGGGTGAGGAGTAAGGACAGGGGAATGATGGATGAAAGTGGGAAAATGGGTGAAGCTGGGGCAGCATCGATAGCCCCAGAGTGACTGGGATAGGTGGAGCAAGAGGGAGAGGAAGGAGTGCTGTGTAGAGTGGAGGAGGTGATGGAGGGCAGTGGACAGGATGGTAGCCTCACACTCCCTAGTGACTCTTGTCATTGTGGTAAGGATGTGGCTGATCAGATCATCCTGAGTCAGAAGAGTTTGGGAAGTGGACGAGTGACTCAGGTGAAAGTGTGATGAGCCTCTGAGTTCTGATTCTGGACCTTCCCTGAGTTACCGTCCGTCACCTTTGACCACCCCAGCCGCCGTTTCTCCATTATTACTCTGAGGCAGTGGAATGGCTTGTTGGTCAGGGTATTCTGGGGAAATTCCCGGCTATTTAGATCAGCTCATCAGTACCAACCCAGCTATTGTGAAATAGGCCTCTTTTGACTGCCCGAAGTGACACCTCCATTCTGAATAGAATGGTAAAAGTCCACCACATGCTTCCTCTCTCCCACCACTCAGCCCCTGCCTGGAGAAGCCACATCCCAGATTGGATTTCCTGCCTCTGTGTCCTTAATGAGCACTTTAGTAAGTGGTGTCGCCATTCTTCTGAACCACAAGCCCATTTAAACCAAAGGCATTAGGAAAATCAAGTATGAGCTCTCAGCTTAGGTACACCATCATGATTTCATTCTCCCAAAGAACTTTGTCTTTAAAGAGCTCAATCATCTTCCCAAATCCATTCACACCCTGCAGGCAAGGAGGCATCACGAGAGCGTCATGACAAGCAGCAGCCTTTGTTTCCTTTTAAAGGAAGACAGGTCCTGCTTTGCTGACCCCTGGGAGGACCACCACAGTATGGCAAGGGGTGAGAAGCAGTGTGAGAGAGAGAAGGTGCTGAAGCGGGCTGTGGCCAGAATCCAAGTCTGAAGATGACGTGGTCCCCAGTGCCCCCTAGTGGTGGGAAGTTGTCTGGTGCTCTTTGTTCTGGGGAAAAGGAAGATGGCCTGTTCTAAGCATCTTGTGGCCCAATTTCCTTCTCATCAGGGAAGATATACTCCAAGCTAAAGAGATATCCTGACATCTGCTCTAGGGTCTGTGATTCCCTGAGGGCAGCACTGTTTGGGAGGATTCACACTTGTGCTCCCTGTGTCTGGAAAAAAGGCTCAGAAACCAAGGGGTAAAGAGAATGGGGGCTAGAAGTGATCCTTGCTTTCAGAGGTGCTCTAGACTTGCCCTGTCCTAAATAGTAGCCACCAGCCACATGTGGCTATAGAGCATTCTGGAATGTAGCTAGTCTGAATTGAGATGAGTCATAAATGCAAAATACATATTGGATTTCAAAGTCTTAATATGAAAAAAAATTTTTATTTGTTTTATTAATTTATTTTACTTTTTTTACTTTTTTGAGATAGAGTCTCGCTCTGTCTCCCAGGCTGGAGTGCAGTGGCATGATCTCAGTTGACTGCAAGCTCCACCTCCCGGGTTCATGCCATTATCCTGCCTCAGCCTCCTGAGTAACTGGGACTACAGGCGCCCGCCACCACACCCGGCTAATTTTTTGTATTTTTAGTATAGACGGGGTCTCACCGTGTTAGCCAGGGTGGTCTCGATCTCCTGACCTCGTGATCGACCTGCCTCAACCTCCCAAAGTGCTGGGATTACAGGCGTGAGCCACCGTGCCCAGCCGAAAAAAATATTTTTACATGGATTACTTGTTGAACTGATAATATTTTGCTTAAATAAATATATTAAAATTAATTTCACTTGTTTCTTTTTCCTGTGCACTGTGGCTGCTAGAAAATTTAACATTACATTTCTACTGGATAGCATTGCTCTTCACGGATGGGCTTTGTGCCCAGAACGGGGGCCCACATGACTAAGACAGGTTTCAGGCCTGCCTTGGGCCCACTTCCAGAGCTGTGGCTGACCTTTTGGAGAGGTAGAGTGGGCTTGGCCTTTGTAATTCAGCCCTCCCCTCCCAAAAAGCCCTTTGAAATCCTATCATTCAGAAGTCATCACTTTGTATAATCACAACTTTTCAAAATGCGAGTACCCCAGGATTAAGAACTTACTAACATCAACCAGGCGTGGTGGCTCACACCTGGAATCCCAGTACTTTGGGAGCCAAGGTGGGAGGATTGCTTGAGGCCAGGAGTTTGAGACCAGCCTGGGCAATGCAGCAAGACCCTCACTCTACAAAAATTTAAAAAATGAACTAGGCATGGTGGCACACACCTGTAGTCCCAGCTATTCTGGAGGCTGAGGGTGGAAGATGGCTTGAGCCCGGGAGTTTGAGGTTATAGTGAGCTATGATCACACCACTGTATTCCAACCTGGGTGATAGAGCGAGACCCTGTTTCTAAAACAAAACGAAACAGAAAGCCAAACACCTAGTCTAAATATTCTGGGATCCCAGGGTGCCTACAAGATAGAGGAGGGGGCCCCAGAGAGAACTGTGGGAGGTAGAAAAATAGGAGTTGGAGGATACTGAGCCCCCTGGCTGCCTTGCTCTTCCATTTTGTGCTCAGCTCCCTGGCGTTGAAGCCACCTATCTCTTAACAGGTTGACCTGTACCCTACCTGTTTCTTTGTCCTTGGGAAATGGGCCATTTGGTGCCTGCTGGGAGTTTTATTTATTTATTTATTTTTGAGCCAGATTCTTGCTCTGTCACCCGGACTGGAGTGCAATGATGCCATCTCAGCTCACTGCAACCTCTGTCTTCCAGGTTCAAGTGATTCTTGTGCCACAGCCTCCCAAGTAGTTAAGATTACAGACACGTACCACCACGCCCAGCTAATTTTTGTATTTTTAGTGGAGATGGGGTTTTTGCCATTTTGCAGGCTGGTCTCAAGCTTCTGGCCTCAAGTGATCCACCCACCTCAGCCTCCCAAAGTGTTGTGATTATAGTCGTGAGCCACCTCACCTGGCCTGGAGTTTTAGAAGAGTCGTATCAGAAATTTTATTTTCGACTGGGCGCGGTAGCTCACGCCTGTAATCCTAGCACTTTGAGAGGCTGAGGCGGGTGGATCATGAGGTCGCGAGATCGAGACCACCCTGGCCAACATAGTGAAACCCCATCTCTACTAAGAATACAAAAAATTAGCTGAGCGTGGTGGCACGTGCCTCTAGTCCCAGCTACTCGGGAGGCTGAGGCAGGGGAATCACTTGAACCTGAGAGGCAGAGGTTGCAGTGAGCCAAGATCGTGCCTTTGCACTCCAGCCTGGCAACAGAGTGAGACTCTCTCAAAAAAAAAAAAAAAAAAGAAATTTTATTTCCTCCATTCCTCTGTCATACCCATTCTGAGTCATTTACCTGACCTGTGAAAGCTAAATTTCTTTTGAAATACAGAGGGGCACCTCCTATACTTTGTGTAAAAGGGCCCTGGATGGCTGAACATAGCATTACAATGTGCAGTATATGGAGCAGAATTTGTTCTGCAGCCTGGCATGCTTTAGACAGTTTTTAAGGAAAGAACAAACTGTGAGCTGTATGTGTTATCTGTGGACAGTGTACTGTGTGGGCCCCCAAGGGACAGCAGCAATTCTTTAGGGGTCTCAGTATATGAATCTTGGGCAGGCCCTTACAGACTTTGGCTTTGTGTTTAGTAATGTAAATTCTTCCCCAGTGTTTGTGAGATGGCTTCTGAGTGCTTAGCATTGAATGAGGATTCAGTGGAGACTATCCAAGTTGGGATTTAGGGATCAGAATGCATGTGCCTCTCATGTAGTATTGCATTCTTAGACTTGCAATGCCTGTGATGTTTTTGTTTTGTTTTGTTTTGTTTTCTCTTCTAGGCACTTATCAACTGGAAAGAGGCTAAACTGACTTGGAGTTTTTTCAAACAGTCTTTCTTGAAACAGATTTTGACAGAAGGTAAGTTGACAGTCACTCTGAATGGTCGGGAGACCATAGTAGAAGGGGATTTCATAGGACTGCCAATTACCTGGGTCCAGATCACCTGTTTAGAGCCTCTGGGGCTGAAGAACTTCAGAAATGGGAGGAAGGGGCTTAATACAGAGAGAGAAACCAACGTCTATTTAGTTTTGTGCTTTACTTAGGTGGTCTAATTTAAATCTCTCCACAGCCTTGTAAGAAAGATACTATTCCCCTTCATTATGGATGAGGAAACTGAGAGTCAGTGAGGTTGCAGAACTTCTTTAGGGTTTTGTAGTAACAGGGAACAGCTTAACTGGGATCCAGGCCTAACTCCAAAACCCCATGTTATAAGATTTTTATGAGTTTATTATAAAAGTATTGTATCAGTTACATAAAACTATTTTTATCTTTTTTTTTTTTTTCTTTTTGAGATGGAGACTTGCTCCATTGCCCAGGCTCTGGAGTGCAGTGGCTCCATCTCGGCTCACTGCAAGCTCCGCCTCCTGAGTTCATGCGGTTCTTCTGCCTCAGCCTCCAGAGTAGCTGGGACTACAGGTGCCACCACCACACCTGGCTAATTTTTTTGTATTTTTAGTAGAGACGGGGTTTCACCGTGTTAGCCAGGATAGTCTCGATCTCCTGACCTCGTGATTCGCCCACCTCGGCCTCCCAAAGTGCTGGGATTACGGGTGTGAGCTACTGCCCTTGACTGGGATTTATTTTCTTAAACAATAAAATGTGCTTGTATGAGAGTTTGGTCAGACTTCGGTCTTTTCAGTTTACCTATGACAGAGCTCAATGTGGAGGGCCAGCAAGGGGCTGGAAGCGCGTTTGGTTTTTGTATGTGTATGTGTTGGTTTATTTGTACCCAGCTTTAATTAGAAAAATGAGATTTTAAGGCAACTATTAAGTTGCTGAAGGTGGTAGTTTCTCTCTTCATATATATTTCATATCCATATACCTATTACTGAATGTATTTTTTAATCTTTTCAAAAATTATCTTTTAATTATAAAATATAGTCCCATTAGAAAAAAATAAGAACATAGAAAAAATAATACTAGCATTCTAATACAACTGTTATTATCTTGGTGTTTTATTTTCCCCCCATCTGTATTTTTTGTTCATTATGTTTCCAGAGAAAAGCAGCTCCCCCTATGCCTCACTTTCCCCGTCTGTGAACAAGGGGATAGGACCAGGCAGTGTCTGAGGGCTCTCTGATCTTCGAGAGTGCACACATGCTTCTAGCCTAACCTTATAACTTTGCTGTTACAAAAATGAAACTGTTCCGAGGCCTTCTTGGGGAAGGGAGGGTCAGAGGCCTCGGAAGAGCTGAGTGAAGGGCCTGAGCACTTAGCTCCTGGAGAGCAGGGAGTGTGCCGTTCACCACTGCCACTGCCTCCCTGTGGCCTGGCACAGGAGGGCTGTGCAGCATGTATTTGTGAATGGAGTGAGAAAAGGCAACAAGGTAACTATTGTGAAATGGTGTATGATGATAGTTCATGTTGTTGTAAGAACAGGAAAATCGGTGGAGGGAGTTTTGGAAAGGACAGTTGCTCATATGCACTTTTTTCCTTCCAAGGTTTTAAGAGCAGTTTTAATGAGTTTGAGGAATGGATCCAGTCCAAGTGATGGCCCTAAATTGGTTTTCTGGATTGCAGACAACACATGTCTCTAGACATGTCTTTGCAGCAGCTGGTTTAAGTTTACTGCAAACAAAAGCCTCCAGAGCTCAACCTGAATGCAGTGCCAGGAGCCTGCTCCATGGGTGGATCCCCCTAGCCTGACTCCCTGACTGGCAGAGTACCACTAGGAACTTCTCAGGGCCTCCATCTCTGTGGCTGTGAAATAAGGAAGTTGCCTGACTGAGATCCTCAGTTTTTTTTTTTTTTTTTTTTTTTTTGAGGCAGAGTTTCACTCTGTCGCCCAGGCTGGAGTGCAGCGGCGCACGGTCTCTGCTCACTGCAAGCTGCGCCTCCTGGGTTCACGCCATTCTCCTGCCTCAGCCTCCCGAGTAGCTGCGACTACAGGCGCCCGCCACTATGGCCAGCTAATTTTTTGTGTTATTTTTAGTAGAGATGAGGTTTCACTGTGTTAGCCAGGATGGTCTTGATCTCCTGACCTTGTGATCCACCTGCCTCGGCCTCCCAAAGTGCTGGGATTATAGACATGAGCCACTGCCCCCGGCCCGTTATATTTTTAAAACTACAGCTCTAAAAAAGTTGAAATCCCCGGTTTTTTTTGGTTGTTTTTTGTTTTTTTGTAGATAGGGTCTCACTCTGTCACCCAGGCTGGAATGCAGTGGTGCAAACACAGCTCGCTGCAGTCTTGACCTCTCAGGCTCAAGTGATCCTCCCACCTCAGCCTCCCAAGTAGCTGGGACTACAGGCAAGGCACCTACCATTACGCCTAGCTAATATTTTAATTTTTTTGTAGGGACAGGGTCTTGTGATGTTGCCCAGACTGGTCTTGAACTCCTGGACTCAAGCGATCCTCCTGCCTCGGCCTCCCAAAGTGCTGGACTTACAGGCATGAGCCACTGAGCTGGGCCTGAAATCACTTTTTGTAGTAGCAAAAATGTATGTGCTGTTACTTCTGCCGCCACATTTCCTGAACAGTATGCCAGGTGCTGAGAATACTGAGATGAATGAGTAACAGGCCATGGCCTCAAGCATTTCATTCTCTCACCAAAGACACAGACGTTTGTGTGGTTAACTGTTCCTGGGCTGTGAGGGGTGTAGTACTTGAAACTCATTTCCTAGAGCTTTGCTAGGAAACCAGGGTCATAGAGATGACTGAGAGGGGCTCTTGCCCTCAGGGAGTTTATAGAATGTAGGAAGGAGAGCCTATTCTGCCAAAAGACAGGGAGGGCCCTGCAGAAAAGACACTCTAGGTGGTGAGAATGACAAGAGCCAAGGCAGGCCCAGCCTGACTCAAAGCAGCTGGAGGGCTAAAACCTGGGAGGTAGGGTGCAGCAGAAGATGACAGGGTGATGAGGGTGAGGTTGACGAAGGGAAGCCAAAATGATAGCTTGGGGTCAGTGTATAAAAGCCCGCAAATACAGAATTAAGGAGCCTGGACTTTTTGCAAACATTAAAGAGCCATTTTGGCCAGGCGTGGTGGCTCACGCCTATAATCCCAGCACTGTGGGAGGCAGAGGAGGGCAGATCACCTGAGGTCAGGAGTTCGAGACCAGCCTGGCTAGCACAGTGAAACCCCATCTCTACTAAAAATACAAAAATTACCTGGGTGTGGTGGTGGGTACCTGTAATCCCAGCTACCCAGGAGGCACAGGCTGCAGTGAGCCCAGATAGCGCCATTGCACTCCAGCCTGGGCAACAAGAGTGAAACTCTGTCTCAAAAGAAAAAAAAAGAGAGAGCCATTTAAAGATATGAAAGCAGGCCGGGTGCATTGGCTCACGCCTGTAATCCCAGCACTTTGGGAGGCTGAGGCGGAAGGTCAGGAGTGCAAAACCAGTCTGGCTAGCGTGGCAAAACCCCGTTCCCACTAAAAACTGAAAAAATTAGCCGGGCGTGGTGGCAGGCGCCTGTAATCCCAGCTACTCAAGAGGCTGAGGCAGAAGAATCGCTTGAACCCAGGAAGCAGAAGTTGCAGTGAATGAGATCATGCCACTGCACTCCAGTCTGGGTGACAGAGCAGGACTCCGTCTAAAAAAAAAAAAGATATGAAAGCAGAGACTGATTTAAGAGCTATGTTTGAGGCTGGGCGCAGTGGCTCACACCTGTAATCCCAGCACTTTGGGAGGCCAAGGCGGGTGAATCACTTGAGGTCAGGAGTTTGAAACTAGCCTGGCCAACATGGTGAAACCCGTCTACTAAAAATACAAAAAAAAAAAAGAAAAAAAATTGCTGGGTGTGGTGGTGGGCATCTGTAATCCCAGCTACTCGGAAGGCTGAGGCAAGAGAATCTCTTATGTCCGGGAGGCAGAGCTTTCAGTGAGCTGAGATGGCACCACTGCACTCCAGCCTGGGCAGCAGGGCAAGACTCAGTCTCAAAAAAAATAAAAGCAACAATGACAAAACAAAACTGTATTTGCAGAAGCTGGAACTGTTAGCAGTGAGGGTAGATCCAAGCAGCACAGAGACACAGGCCTATGAGGACCCGCAGTGATCCCTACCACAAACACAGTGGCAGGGGCTTGGAGAGAGAGGCAGGGTGGGAGAAAGTCTTGAGAGAAGACCCTCACTGCTTCCAGCCTCTTGATGCTTTCCTTTTTGAGCAAGTTACTAGGAGGTGAGAATTTGCCCTTCAGGGCGCGGGCACTGTTTAGTGCTCTTTTCCCATAGTGGTCAACACTTTTTCCTCATAGATGAGAAGCTTCACGAAAGCCAGGGGCATGGGAGCTCTGGCTGGTGTCTTCACCTTGAAGGCATTAGACTGTCTTACATTTGAATCTTGAACTCAGGCCTGATTTTTGTAGTAGCAAAAATGTATGTGCTGTTGCTTCTGCCCCCTCAGGCCTGAGTTCCTGATTCAAATCTAAGACAGTCTAATGCCTTGCCAGCCCCAGGGAGCTGTCTCCACCCCTGAGGAACCCTTGGATAAGCTTGTGCATATAATCATGGATGCTTCACAGATAATTTATGCGCAGATTATCTGACCTCCCCTTAAAACTTGGGACCATCGCCTGGGCGCGGTGGCTCATGCCTGTAATCCCAGCACTTTGGGAGGTGGAGACGGCGGATCATGAGGTCAGATCGAGACCACCCTGTCTCTACTAAAAATACAAAAATACTAGCCGGGCATGGTGGCGGGCGCCTGTAGTCCCAGCTACTCGGAAGGCTGAGGTAGGAGAATGGCATGAACCTGGGAGATGGAGCTCGCAGTGAGCTGAGATCGCGCCACTGCACTCCCGCATGGGCAACAGAGCAAGACTCTGTCTCAAAAAAAAAAAAAACTTGGGACCATCATTTTCATTATTAACATTTAATAATCTCCACATACTTTTTTTAAAACTTATTTTTAGACTTTTTTATTATTTTATTTTTATTTTTAATTTTACTGGCTTGGAGATTCGCTGTCAATGAAGTCCTCAGCACTTTCGAAATTGTTACTTTGAGATTATTTGAAATCAACATTAGGACAAGGACATGTCTTTAACTGATTATCTAATATTTCTCCTTTATTTGTCAGCTGGAAAAGTTGATAGCTAGTAAGAGAAAGGACACAATAAAGTAATGTGCATTTGACATTGCTAATTATTTTGCTTTTTTGTTTATAGGCGAGCGATATGTGATGACATTTTTGAACGTATTGAATTTTGGTGATCAGGGTAAGATGAAATTCTGTAGTGTTTTAATTAAAGGTTAATACTATTAATAGATACTTCCTAACATTTTTCTCCGATATATTTAATGAAAGATGAACCTGAAGATTAAAAAAAATCCTGAAGATTGTAAATTGTAGGTCTTCGTACTGACTGTGCCCTCCAATGTGACTTTGGTGGCAGGTGTTCTGGTGAGACCCTGGCCCTCTAGTTCGCCTCCTAAGAGCTCTGGTGTTCATTTTGGCGGGTGGGAGGTGCCAAGAGAGGAGAAAAGGGAGCTCATCATCACAGCCACAAGAATCTGCCCCATATTTGTGTAGCTACATAGTCTTTTAGTATTTTCATTTTTATCTTTTAATGTAATACCAAAGTAATGGAAATCAAATAGAAAAACATCAACTTTGCATTAATGACCTGTATAAGAAAGTACTGTTGATGGAAGCATTCTGTATCTTGACTGTATCAATTTTGGTATCCTGGTTGTGATATTATACTACAGTTTTACAAAATGTTACCACTGGGTAAAGGGTATATGGGATCCCTCTATTACTTCCTTTTTTTTTTGAGACAGTGTCTCACTCTCTTGCCCTCTTGCCCAGGCTGGAGTGCAGTGGTACCATCACAGCTCACTGTAGCCTCAACTTCCTGGGCTTGGGCTTGGGTGATTCCCCCCACCTCAGCTTCCCAAATAACTGGGACTACAAATGCACACCACCATGCCTGGCTAATTTTTTCCGTTTTTGTAGAGACAGGGTTTCTCCATGTTTCCCAGGCTCATCTTAAACTCCTGGGCTCAAGCAGTCCACCCACTCTGGCCTCCCAAAGTGCTGGGAATACAGTCATGAGCCACCATGCCCGGCCACTGTAACTCTGTGTGAATCTATAATTATCTGAAGATAAACAAACTTTAATGAAATATTAAATAACAATTTTAATAGTACTGTGAAAATTAAAGTAGAAAAACCAACATGATTGTTGTTTCTTCTTTTTTGTTTTGTAGGTGTGTATGATATAGTGAATAATCTTGGCTCCCTTGTGGCCAGATTAATTTTCCAGCCTATAGAGGAAAGTTTTTATATATTTTTTGCTAAGGTGCTGGAGAGGGAAAAGGATGCCACACTTCAGAAGCAGGTAGTGTTGGTTCTTATATCATCTCTCAAGTGAATTCTCCCTTTAATTGCAAGACAAACAGATAGGAATGTGAAGCAGTCTGTTTCTCTTCTGTTTGATCAGGAATTTTCTTACAGATTTCATTCTTCTATTACATTCTGTATGATAGCGGGACCCAGGGCTCACCTCTTCTTTCGTGGCCTTCTCCCTTTGCTCTTGGCTGTCCCTTCCTTCTCACCCCTTTGTTATATTCTTTGTGACCTTTCTCTTTTTTTTTTTTTTTTGAGATAGAGTCTTGCTCTGACGCCCAGCCTGGAGTGCAGTGGCATGACCTCGGCTCACTGCAACCTCCACCGCCCAGGTTCAAACGATTCTCCTGCCTCAGCCTCCTGATGAGTAGCTGGGACTACAGGCATGCACCACCACACCCAGCTAATTGTTGTGTTTTTAGTACAGATGGGGTTTTGCCATATTGGCCAGGCTGGTCTTGAACTCCCGACCTCAGGCAGTCTGCCCACTTCAGCCTCCCAGAGTGCTAGGATTACAGGCATGAGCCACCGTACCCGGCCATGTGACCTTACTCTTGATCCAGCCCTCTCAGGACTCTCTAAAGCTGTCCCCATTGTCCTGCAGATGCCCAGCCATGGGCTAGTCTTAGGCATAAGAATGCCTCCCCTATCCTCAGAGTCTCAAGAGCCAAAGGATGCAGAAGTTGGAGCCAGGCTAATCGAGGAAGGAGAGGATGTGGTTGTTGGCTTTCACTCACCACACCAATTGTTTAAGCTTCTTACAACTGGGACGTGCCCAGAGCTACACTCTGACTATAAGATTCTATATACTCAGGTTGGTAAATACAGAAGAGGAGATTTTAATCTAGGCGCATCTGGTTGTAGGAGCTTCACTTTTTCCAAAACCACTGAAAATGTCTGACTTTTAGAATAGCAAGCTAGTTCAGCCTCTTGCATGTCTTAGAAGATATTTAGTAAAATACAGTTTATGCACAATATCTCAAAATGAGCTAATCTGGTACTCAGTCTGATTTAGGAATATTTTCCTAAGAGTACAATCACAGTAACATCATAATTTTGGAATGTTTAGCAGGAGAGGCACAGAGCTGGCTAGTATATATGAAAAGTTGCTGCACATTTAAGAATAAACATTAGGGCTGGGTGCGGTGGTTCACGCCTGTAATCCCAGCACTTTGGGAGGCCGAGGCAGGTGGATCACTAGGTCAGGAGATTGAGACCATCCTGGCTAACACAGTGAAACCCCATCTCTACTAAAAATACAAAAAATTAACCGGGCATGGTGGTGGGTGCCTGTGGTCCCAGCTACTCCGGAGGCTGAGGCAGGAGAATGGCATGAACCCGGGAGGCGGAGCTTGCAGTGAGCCGAGATTGTGCCACTGCACTCCAGCCTGGGTGAGAGTGAGACTCCGTCTCAAAAAAAAAAAAAAAAAGAAGAATAAATATTAGTGGCCTGGTGCAGTGGCTCATGCCTGTAAGCCTCATGCTTTGGGAGGCCAAGGCAGGAGGATTGCTTGAGGCCAGGAGTTTGAGATTAGCCTGGCCAACACAGTGAGACTCCCTTCTCTATTTCTATTAAAAAATAAATAAAATAAATAAATATCAGAGGGGAAAGTGCGTGTTTCCTAAGCAGTATTTGAAACAGTTTATCCCAAGTGAATTGAAAACTAACCCTTCCCCTTACTACCTAAGGAGACACACACTTTTTCCTTCATTTGCTAATTGACATGAAAACAAACACGCTACCAAAAAAATAGTGATATCCATCACGTCGTTGGAAGAGTGAACTGAAAAATAGTGAAGGGAGAAGGCCAGACATGAAGGGTGAAGGTTTTCTTCAGCTCATGATTCATCCAACTTCCTTCCCTCTTCCCTGGCCCCAGGAGGACGTTGCTGTGGCCGCTGCAGTCTTGGAGTCCCTGCTCAAGCTGGCCCTGCTGGCCGGCCTGACCATCACTGTTTTTGGCTTTGCCTATTCTCAGCTGGCTCTGGATATCTACGGAGGGGCCATGCTTAGCTCAGGATCCGGTACGCACAAGAGTTTTTCTGGATTTTTTTCTGATTTCCCAACAGAAATAGAAGAGTGACGAAATTCAAGAACTTGTGCACACACAGTTGATATCTGTGTCGGTGTAGGGAAAACTGTCTGGTGGCGGGGGCTGTGGGACTGTTCCCCTCATTCAACTCCAGACACACACTCAAGGTATAGGCAGGGGCTTTGGCGCCAGGACGATCAGCTTCCCCAGCCTCACTTGAATAAGTTATTAGGACTTCTCCTTGCTGTTGGTTTTCCTCTCGGGCCTAGAATGTGTTTTGCCAAGCGCTTCCCTGTGCTCCCTCTGGGGTGAGGGAGGAAGGCAGAGGGCAGGCGGTAATGAGTCCCCACTTGGTACTAAACACATCTGAAGATAGTAAATGCCACATAAATCTCCCAGCCTGATGCATAAAAGCCTCTGAAGGATAACCCAAAGCCATTTGCAGAGAATAAAATTGATCTCTGCAAATAAAAGGGTATATTTAATCCAGTGACTCTCAGTTTTTGAAGAAGAAAAGTGTTGAATGTGTCTAATTTTGAAACACCAGACCACTAAGGATCTCACAGCACTTCTTGGGCCTTGGGGACTTCACCAATTTCAAAATGTGCTGGGCTGTAAGCTGGCAGTCCATTTGCAGTGTTTCATCTTGGGTTCAGCAAAAATGTTTTTAATTTCTCAGGTCACTGGACAAGAACCCTGAGGACTTCTTTCTGCTGCCCCATCTCAATATAAAGGGCTTTGTCAAATGCCATTTTACAAGTTCACTAGCATGTTTTAGTCTCCACTACAATGGGGCCCAAACTTTCAGTGTTAGGAGAAGGGCCAAGCTTCTATACCAGAGCAAAGGTCATTAAGTTTGGAGAAACACCTGCTGTGAAACCAATGAAGTGGTTTGCAGCTCCCTGGGGCTTGTGCTGTGAGAAGTACATTTCCATCAGGCAGCTGCGGGAGGCCTCATTAGGAAGGCACTAGTAAGTTTATGGGCAGAGATTGGGAATTCAACTATTCTATAGAAGCTCTTCCCCTTTAGAAAGCAATCACCAAGGAGCAGCCTTTAATGTCACACAATCACAGGGCATTGCCTCAAGGAGGGGGCTGTCCCATCATTATCATGACTCAGCCCATCATCTTAGTTTTGAAAGTGGAACTCGCAACACTACTGTCCTCAGTTGTGTACTTGTCTTTGTCTTCACCCTGGAAGTGGACTACTTACCTGTGAGCTCTACTGGCCATCTCCAGATGTGGGACTTGGACACAGCACAGACAGGCTTTTGTGTAGGGGTGTGGCTTCTCTTCCATTGTTTGGGATTAGCACTGTATTTAATTAGGGGCTTTGTAAGTGTTCTGGAGGCTTTTCTTAGAAATCTTTCTCACACCTAGCTTTGCTTTGCTTTTTCTTTTCTTTTTTCTTGGTAACTCACAGAACACCTAGCTTTGCTATCCTTAAGCAAAACCCAAACATTCACAGAATTTCCCCAAGATTTCTCACATTTCTCTCTTAGGTGCTTCTCTCTTGCCCCTCTGCCTTTTACTTTTTCCTTCTCTATCCCCTTGTCTTAATGAACTAGGGCTGCCATGACAAAGTACCACAGACTGCGTGGCTTTAAACAACAGAACATATTGTCCATCAGTTCTGGAGGCCAGAAGTGCACAATGAAGCTACGGCCAGGACCGTGTTATCTCTGAAGTCTCGAGGAGAGGCACCTTCCTGCCTCTTCTAGTTTCTAGTGGTTGCTGGCATCCTGGTGTTCCTTGACTTGCAGCTGCAGCACTGGGGTCACACGGCTGTGTTCTCTTTGTCTTCACATCATCATCCCCCTGCGCATGTCTGCCTCAGTGTGCAAGTTTCCCCCACTTTTTTTTTTTTTTAATGAGACAAAGTCTCACTCTGTCACCCAGGGTGGAGTGCAGTGGTGCGATCTCGGCTCACTGCAACCTCCCAGGTTCAAGAGACTCCCGCCTTAGCCTCCCAAGTAGCTGAAATTACAGGCACACCCTACCATACCCGGCTAAGTTTGTGTATATTTAGTAGAGACGGGGTTTCGCCATGTTGGCCAGGCTGGTCTCAAACTCCTGACCTCAGGTGATCTGACCCCCTTTGGCATCCCAAAGTGCTGGGATTATAAGCGTGAGCCACTGTACCTGGCCAAGTTTCCTCTTTTTATAAGGACACCTGTCATGTTGGATCAGGGCCTGCCCTAATGACCTCATTTGAACTCAGTTTTCTTCATGAAGACCCTGTTTCCAAATAAGGTCAGATTCTCAGGTACCGCTGGTCAGGACATCAACATATCTATTTTGGGGGCACAGTTCAACCTAAAACACCTCTCAATTCAGTCTACAATCGAAGGTTGGTTCCGTTCTTGAATTCCCCAAATGGATGCAAAACGCTTTACGTGAGTCACTGCTTCGCGTCAGAGTTTGTGTTGCTCTCCATGCCTCACGACAGCCCACTGTTCACCTACTGATGGGCCCACCTGTGCCATTAGCGTTCAGTTGCCAGGTAAGGAGGCCTGCCACTCCTCTCTGCTTCTGCCAGGGAGAGGAGGATGGGGAGAAGCAGGAGGCACACTTGAGCATAGCCTTGAGTCTCCTGGGTGCAGAGCGTGGTCCCTGCCTCCCTTCCTTGAGTCACCGTCAGCTGGGGTAGGGGCCAGGCTGCTTCCTGCAGCGGCTTGACAAGCAAAATGCAATGTGAGGTGATAAACATGGAATCTGAGACAGGGCCGTGGAAAATGGTTTTTTGTTGGGCATCAGGACTGCCCTGTTACTGCCATAAAACTGTTTAGTTTCCCACAGCATGGAGATCTTTTATATTAAACAGCTTTCATAAACCCTGAATGAGTTCCAGATTCTGAGACTCCGGAACTTCAGTCCCCACTCCTTTTCTTTTAGTGGTTACTTTTTTTTTTTTTTCCTTTGTTGAGGTATAATTTACATAAAGTAAAATGCTGTTCTCTTAAGAGTACAGTTTGATAAGTTTTGACAAATATGTCCAAAAAGTCCCATGTAACTACCAAACAGATTCAGATATAGAATATCTCCATTTCCCTAGAAAGTTCTTTTGGGACCCTTTCTAGTCAACCATCCCACTCCACCTCAGATCATGGATCAGTATTTATTTTAAAAAGAATTTCGTATCAATGAAATGCAGCATGCGTGCTCTTGCATTTGGCGTATTTCCTTCAATACAAAGTTTTTGAGATTCTTCCCCCCGTGGTTTCACATAGATCAGTGATTTTTATTATCTTTTCTTGCTAAGTATTCCTTTGTGTGGATGGCCCACGTTTTGTTTATTCTTTCTTCTGTTGATGGTCAGTTTTGGCTATTATGAATCAAACTGCTACAGATGTTTTTGTGTAAGTGTTTTTGTGAACATGTGTGTTCATTTCTGTTGAATGTATACCTAGGGGTGCAATTGCTGGGTCGTAGGTTAGGTGTATGTTTATTTTATTAGGTGCTTGATTATGGCCCTCTTAAAAGGGGGGAATCAATCCCATTTGTAAGCCTCCTGTTCTCTGGTTAGAAGATTTTTCCAAAGCTTGTTAGCTATAGAACTGCATTACTTTGTTTTAGAAGAAAATACCATTACGGGCACTGGTTCTCACTTTGGATTTGTGTAATTTTCTGCTGGTCCTAGGCCCTGGGCATTTGTTAAAGGTCTTTTGTTTAGGACCTGCTCAACTGAGATTCCCTTAACATACAGGGTCACTAGTGACTTTGAGTTCAAACCACCAGGCCTATTCATGCTGATGAAAAAAGTGAACAGACTTGTTTGCTAGCCAGATAAGCTTTTAGTTGTCTAGCAAGAGATCTGTACATTTATTCATAGTTTTTTTTTTTTTTTTTTGAGATAGGGTCTTGTTCTGTCACCCAGGCTGAAGTGCAGTGGCACTATCATGGCTCACTGCAGCTCTGACCTCCCCAGACTCAAGTGATCCTCCCATCTCAACCTCCTGAGTAGCTGGGACTACAGGCATGCCCACCACACGCAACTAACTTTTGTATTTTTGGTAGAGACGGGGTTTCATCATGTTGCCCAGGCTAGTCTTGAATCTCTGGGCTCTAGCAGTCTGCCAGCCTTGGCCTCCCAAAGTGCTAGGATTACAGGCATAAGCCACCGTGCCCAGCTTGTCCTTTTGTTTTTTGCGGATTATTTAGTCAATGCCGTAGAATGCTGGGAATCCTTCTAGATAATTAAGACCCTGAGCTCGAGCATGCAGTCTGTCCATTGCTGATACCAGCAGACCTCATAGTCTGGTTCTGGTTCTCTGGGTACTCAGCAGCGCTGAGGTTACATGTGGGCCTTCTGATTGGGCTCTGGAGTCTCAGTGAGTTGTTTCCTTGTAGGTCCTGTTTTGCTGCGTTCCTACTGTTTCTATGTTCTCCTGCTTGCCATCAATGGAGTGACAGAATGTTTCACATTTGCTGCTATGAGCAAAGAGGAGGTCGACAGGTGGGTAACCTAGCAGGTACACCTTTAATCATGGCCTTCGGCCAAAATGAAGTAACTTGTCAAGCTTTTTGCTTTTCATTCTGAACATGCATTTACAGATGGTTGTTATAGAGGCAACACTTAGTCCACCAGTGCAGTGCTTCCCTGGGATCTCTGTGGCGCCAGCATGGTTCAGCAAGTGGCCCCACCATAGGGCTGGGAGACAACAACTACTCTTTGCCTCCCCATTGTGGAGGGAGAAACATTGGCTCTGAAAGGTTACATTAGTCCAGGTTTGCAGAGTCAGGCACCAGACAAGCTAGATTCCCATTCCTTCACCTCATTGCTCACCCCAGAAGAGTGGTCCTCCGGTAAGTTACTGAGGAGCTTCTTCAAGATGCACATTCCTACCCCTGAGAACCTGAATGGTGGGTCTTCGAGAATCTCAGGGATTCTGTGACGCTTCTCCTGAGAAAAGCCCAAATACACGTGTACATCTTGCCTAATTTTTTCTCAACTGTTGACTCCAGATCAGGATTCCCATCCTGGAATCCCTACCAGTGGTTCTTAATACTGATTGTGGGCCAGGTGCGGTGGCTCATGCCTGTAATCCCAGCACTTTGGGAGGCCAAGGCGGGCGGATTACCTGAGGTCAGGAGTTCGAGACCAGCCTGACCAACATGGTGAAACCCCATCTCTAGCAGCCAGGCGCGGTGGCTCAAGCCTGTAATCCCAGCACTTTGGGAGGCCGAGACGGGCAGATCACGAGGTCAGGAGATCGAGACCATTCTGGCTAACACGGTGAAACCCCGTCTCTACTAAAAAGTACAAAAAACTAGCCAGGCGAGGTGGTGGGCACCTGTAGTCCCAGCTACTTGGGAGGCTGAGGCAGGAAAATGGCGTAAACCTGGGAGGCGGAGCTTGCAGTGAGCTGAGATCCGGCCACTGCACTCCAGCCTGGGCGACAGAGTGAGACTCTGTCTCAAAAAAAAAAAAAAACCCCATCTCTACTAAAAATACAAAAATTAGCCAGGCATGGTGGCAGGTGCCTGTAATCCCAGCTACGTGGGAGGCTGAGGCAGAAGGATTGCTTGAACCCAGGAGGCAGAAGTTGTAGTGAGCCCAGATCACACCATTGCACTCCAGCCTGGGGGACAAGAGTGAGACTTTGTCTCAAAAAAAAAAAACTGATTATGAGTTAAAATCTCCCATGAAGCTTGTTAGAAATGCAGATTCTTGGCTGCCCTCCTTCTGCCCCTCTCTCTCCTACCACACAATAGTCTCAGCAGGCTCTTGGGCATATGTATGTTTTTTGAATGCTCCTCAGTAATTCTGATGTGAACTCTTCCTGGTTAAGTGTATTTGGCCTACACCCAGGATCATCCACCTCTTGTGTACCAAATACCAAAAAAAAGTAAGGCAGCATCTTAAGGCATCACTAGAGGGTGATGCTGAGGAGAAGAGAGAGGGAAATCGTAGAAAGGGCAGGAGTAGATGATGGGGTGACTGGCCTTCATTTTCTTACTGCCTCGAAGCCAGGGGCCCATGGGGGTTTTCATGCTGCCTCTGTAACCTTGAGTGCTGGTGAGGGCCCTCAGAGGCCTGGCCATGAGGTGGGATGGGGAAGGAGTATCTCAAATGGGGACCCTTCCCCCTCTTCTGTGCATATCCTTTCCTGGGCTGGCTCATGTAAAAGCTTGGGGACTTTGTTTGCTACACAGTGACTGAGAACTAGAGTCCAGACCAGCAGGTCTCAGTCTAGATTGATGAGATTCTTCTAGGAATTTCTGGTCCACTCCCAGCCCAGTTGAATTAGAATCTTAGAAGGCTTGAGCCAGGGAATCTGTTTATTACACAGCTCTAGGCAATTCTGATTCTAGGGCTTTGGAAACTGCTGGCCCAGACCAGCTGTCACAGTAAAAACAACACGGAGCAATGTGACCCAGGACGCACTTAGGTGTGTGTGACTGAGACATGAGTTCACAAGGCAGGAAGTACCCCAGTTATGCACAGGACACACTGATGCTTTCTACTCTGTCTTCTATTTTGTTTTTCAAAAATGCCATGCCATTACCCTCTAAATTGATTTCCCAGCCTAGTAGTAGGTCACAACCCGTAGTTTTAAAATTGTGGTCTAGATGTGGTTTTCACCTCAGATAGTTAAATTTATAGCTGTAGAGTAGAACTGTTTTGAGTCTATCCTCTTCTTTCCCCATGGATGAAAAAATCTATTTCAATTTAGCTTTGAAAATACAATGTTTTTGGCCGGGCGCGGTGGCTCACGCCTGTAATCCCAGCACTTTGGGAGGCCGAGACGGGCGGATCACAAGGTCAGGAGATCGAGACCATCCTGGCGAACACGGTGAAACCCCGTCTCTACTAAAAAAAAAAAAAAAAAAATAAAGAAAATACAATGTTTTTATTTGAAAGCTACTTCTAATGTTGAATAACTTAAAACTATAATTGGAAACACGCGAAATGAGGCACTATTAGAGTGGAAAGAGCGGGACTAGGAGTATATCTCCTTGAGGGGAATTTTGTTACGGTAACTTCAGTGTTAGTGTTGAAGGGGTGAATCAAAATCAAACCCATTTAAAATCTTTTTATAAATTGCAACCAAATTGTGAGGGAATATGGACAGTGGCTGGTTGCTTTCTTTTCTCTTATATTGTATTGAACCAAAGGAAACAAGTTTTTAAGTTAGTTGTAATGGAATTTCGATAGTATATAAACATCTGGAAAATTATTTTCATGGTATTAGTCAACATAGAGAAAAAACAGAGCCCAGAGCACCTTCTAGTGCAGTTCCCATGTGGGGTAACTGACCTCCCGTAAGAGTAAAATGTGACATTAAGTGCAGTTTTGAGACACGTATAAAACACAATAGCTCCAATTCTTTCTGGGCCCCTGGCTCCAGCACCTGGGCCTGGTCTGAGCACATGGAGCACCTGGGCTCATCACAGACATCAGCATTTTTTTTTTTTTAATCCTTGTGAGTTTTAACAGACATAAAACTCTAGCAAGGATTTTTATAGTAGAATTGGATAGCTTAGTTAACTGTTACAGTCAGTTACAATGACTTTACATTGGACATTTCAGATTCTGAATAGAAAAAAAGCAGGCATTTTACTCAACCAACTTAAGGTTAACCAGTGTTTTTCTGAATAAAAATAGAGCATTTGGGCCGGGCACGGTGGCTCACGCCTGTAATCCCAGCACTTTGGGAGGCTGGGGTGGGTGGATCACCTGAGGTCAGGAGTTCGAGACCAGCCTGGCCAACATGGTGAAACCCCGTCTCTACTAAAAATACAAAAATTAGCCGGGCGTAGTGGTGCGCACCTGTAATCCCAGCTACTCGGGAAGCTGAAGCACAAGAATCACTTGAACCTGGGAAGCGGAGGTTGCAGTGAGTGGAAATCACGCCATTGTACTCCAGCCTAGGCCACAGAGAGATTCTGTCTCAAAAAAAAAAAAAAAAAATAGAGCATTTGGTTGTATATGAAATATTAAAACATCCTTTGAATTGCAGGTTACTTTTTTTTTTTTTGAGACAGAGTCTTGCTGTGTGGCCCAGGCTGGTGTGCGATGGCGTAATCTCGGCTCACTGCAACCTCCGCCTCCCAGGTTCAAGTGATTCTCTTGATTCAGCCTCCCGACTAGCTGGGATTACAGGTGCGCAACCATGCCCAGCTAATTTTCTTTTTGTTTTTAGTAGAGACAGGGTTTCACCATGTTGGCCAGCCTGGTCTCAAACTGACCTCAGGTGATCTGCCCATCTCGGCCTCCCAAAGTGCTGGGATTATAAGCATGAGCCAACGTGCCTGGCCTGGTTGGTTTTTTTAAATAATCTTATAATATATATAGAATCTGACTAATGGATTTTTCATTATGCCTTATAGAATAATTTTTGTTGTTTTGTTAAGGCTGTCTAATTTTCTTTCATTTCACAAATAGGTTTGAGCATCTACTCTCTAACAGGCATTGTTTTAAGCTCTAGGAATACAGCAATGAATAAGACATGGGATTTCTGCTCTCCTGGAGCTGATGGTGAGGAGGCAGATAGCAAACAAGTAAATTAACAAGAAAATGTGATGTGCTGAGAATGAAAAACGGGTATATAGTGAGTGGTAGGCACCCTTTAGATCGGGTATGCTGGGCAGGCCCCTATAGCACAGCAGCATTTAGGATGACCAAGAAGGTGGTCTAAGATGGGGGCAGAGCCTTCTAGGCAGAGAGAGATCAGTTGTGTAAAGGCCCAAGATTGACAGCTCTTTTTTTTTTTTTTTTTTTTTTTGAGACGGAGTCTGGCTCTGTCGCCCAGGCTGGAGTGCAGTGGCCGGATCTCAGCTCACTGCAAGCTCCGCCTCCCGGGTTCACGCCATTCTCCTGCCTCAGCCTCCCGAGTAGCTGGGACTACAGGCGCCCGCCACCTCGCCCGGCTAGTTTTTTGTATTTTTTTTTAGTAGAGACGGGGTTTCACCGTGTTAGCCAGAATGGTCTCGATCTCCTGACCTCGTGATCTGCCCGTCTCGGCCTCCCAAAGTGCTGGGATTACAGGCTTGAGCCACCGCGCCCCGCTGATTGACAGCTCTTTTGTCTGATTTGTTGGCCTTTGAGCTTTGAGTGCCAAAGTGGACTCCATAACTGTCAAATGAAGGATGGGTATGATCTTCTCACTTTAGCACATAAGACATCAGTGCCATCCTTTTCATGGCTGTGAAGGCTCCATTATATGGCTGTGCCTTGATGTATTCAACCAGCACCTGCTGGGAGCTGCTTCAGGTGGTGCTAGAGTTGATATCCTCAACCATCCATCCTTTTTTTTTTTTACTTTTTTTGAGACAGGGTCTCACTCTGTCACCCAGGCTGAAGTGCAGTGGTACAATCATAGCTTACTATAGCCTGACCTCTTAGGCTTAATCGATCCTTCCACTTCAGCCTCCTGAGTAGCTGAGACTACAGGTGTGTACTACCATGCCCACCTAATTTTTGTATTTTTTGTAGAGACGGAGTCTCTTGCCGCCATGTTGCCCAGGCTGGTCTCCAACTTCTGGGCTCAAGCGATCTGCCCGCCTTAGCCTCCCAAATGCTGGGATTACAGGCATGAGCCACTGTGCCCAGCCAATCCATCTTTTAATAAGCTTGATTTTAAGTCCAGTATTTTCTTGGGACCATGGAGAAATAAGCATTCATAAATAATTTACTGTTTATGCTAACCAAACCTTACAGGACAGTCATATTGTCACTGATTAATAATTTTGCTTTGATTTTAAAAATTGATTTTTTTTTTTTTTAAGATGGAGTCTCGCTCTGTCTCCAGGCTGGAGTACAGTGGCGTGATCTCGGCTCACTGCAACCCCCGCATCACGGGTTCAAGCGATTCTCCTGCCTCTGCCTCCTGAGTAGCTGGGACTACAGGTGCGCACCACCACGCCCAGCTAATTTTTGTATTTTTCGTAGAGACAGGGTTTCACCATGTTGGCCAGGCTGGTCTCGATCTCTTGACCTCGTGATCTACCCGCCTTGGCCTCCCAAAGTGCTAGGATTACAGGCATGAGCCACTGCGTCCAGCCAAAAAAGTGTATTTTAATTGCGTTTTTTAAATTCTCATTTTTTCCTGAAGTGGATTATGCCTTTAAGGCTATAGATTTGTGAATTCTGGAAAGTTCAGCAGCTGCAGAGCCCTCTTGTAGTGGCAGACAATGGACCCCATCATCAGCTCCTCTCAGATGGCCATGCCAAAGAGGCTGTGCTGTTGAATGCGTCTCTGCTTAAATTAGCATGAATTAACTATTGGTTTTATTCATTATTGTTATTTTACTGGGAGTTGGGGAAGGATAGCTAAAAGTTTGTGAATCTATGACTTAAACTCCAAGGATTGATATAGTAGACTGTTCTGAGATAGTTTCTGAAAAACGGGTTACATATCTCTGCTGCTTTGTGGAAAAGAGGTCAAAGTACTGGTCTATGATGGGTCCCATTTGAGTGGCTTGTTCTGAAGTTGACCTTTCTGATTACTGATTAGTAGTGAAAAAACTTCCCCTGTGAGGTACAGGCTCTTGTACTCCATTAAAAGAGACTCTCTCTGGACTGAAAAGCAAATAAACTCCCTCTCTGGAACTCCGGATGAAAGCACATCTCTCCTGTTGGAGTATGGTAGTGTGTGTGTGAGTGTGTGTGAGTGTGTGTGTGTATGTAGTATTTTTACCACCCACTTTGATAAAGTGTATCTCCACAGCACACAGCACCTTGGCTTGAATCAGCCAAGGACCTATACCTGGGCATTCGGGGGATGCAGTGGCTTGCCTTCCGTTTTCTTTTTGGTAGAGACATGGTCTCACCATGTTGTCCAGGCTGATCTCAAACTCTTGGCCTCAAGCAATTCTCCTGCCTCAACCTCCCCATGTGCTGGGATTACAAGCATAGTTCTAGGGTACTGGCCAAGTTCTAGGGCCTCCTTCCACACCTGCAGAATCAGGAACTCTGGTGGTGAAGGCCAGCCATATGCATTTTTAAGTCATCATTATATTTTGAGACAGGGTGTTGCTCTGTTGTCCAGGCTGGAGTGCAGTGGCATGATCATAGCTCACCAGAGCCTTGAACTCCTGGGCTCAAGCCTTCCTCCTCTCTCAGCCTCCCAAGTAGCTGGGACAACAGGTGTGTATCACGGCTAGTTTTTTAAATTTTTTGTAGAGACAGGGTCTCATGACGTTGCCCAGGCTGATCTGAAACTCTTAGGCTCAAGCGATCCTCCCACTTCAGCCTCCCGAGTAGCTAGGACTGCAGGTGTGTGCCACCATCCCTGGGTAATTTTTACTGGTTTCCGTAGAGACGGGTCTACTAGCTATGTTGTCCAGGCTGATCTCGAACTCCTGGCCTCAAGCAATCCTCCCACCACCTCAGCCTCCCAAAGCACTGGGATTACGCTTTCTTTTTTTCTTTCTTTTTTTTTTTGTTTTTTGTTTTTTGAGACAGAGTCTCACTCTGTTGCCCAGGCTGGAGTGCAGTGGCGCGATCTCGGCTCACTGCAAGCTCCACCTCCCGGGTTCACGCCATTCTCCTGCCTCAGCCTCCTGAGTAGCTGGGACTACAGGTGCCCGCCACCACGCCTAGCTAATTTTTTGTATTTTTAGTAGAGACAGGGTTTCACCATGTTAGCCAGGATGGTCTCGATCTCCTGACCTCGTGATCCGCCTGCCTCAGCCTCCCAAAGTGCTGGGATTACAGGCGTGAGCCACCGCGCCCGGCTGGATTACGCTTTCTTACCACCCCTCATGTGTAGAACCTGGGTGGTAGCCTCTGAGGTTTTCTAGCCCAGCAGACATGGCTTGAGGATGTCAAAAGTTTGGTTCCCTCAATGGCTATATACTTAGAGTGCCTGCTTGGTGCTAGGCAGAAACCAGAGGCTGGGGGATTTTGTTCTTGGCTTTACAAGCCTTTTGGAGGACTATGGCAGCTATTTTGTGTTTGCTGAGAATCTGTTTTCTTTTTGGAGAACTGAAGATAACTAAGTGATGTGCTGCTTTGAAATCAGAGAAGTGCAAGAAGTGTAAAAAGCGCCAGGATCAAAGAGCTCTAGAGATACAGGGAGTGGGAGTGAGGATATGTAAGAGTCTGGAAAACAGCAAAGGTGATCCAGGCTTTGGTTCAGTTCCCATTTCATTTTGGAGGCCAGTCATTTGCTTTGAATGGTGTCTACTGCTCAAGGTTACTGGGAGCTGCATCTCCCAAGGGCAGTGGTGTGAGGTACTGAAGCTTAGGGGTCAGAAGTCCAGCTGAGTGTTACCTCACTCGTGAGGCAGATTACTCAGCCTCTCTGTGCTGCTTCCCTTGTCTGTGAAATATATCCAAGCTCTGCAGGGCAAGGCCCATGTGTGTTCGTTCACCAGTGTGTCCCCAGCACTCCTCACAGGGCCTGTCACAGAGTTAGCATCCAATATCTAATCATTACCCTGGTCACATTCTTGTATCTCACATTGAGGACTTGAGCTGAACAGGGTTTTTATGTTTTGATCACAAAGTGTCACTTAACTAACCAATTAATCTTCAAAAAACATACATCTCATGTTGTTTCTTACCCTTCTGTTCAGGGTAAGGGGACAGGGACATTCCCATGGTCTCCATGTAGCATTCAATGTTATGAAAACCTGGATTCTGGGAACACAGGTTCTTTCTATGAGGTGATGTTCATGGCCGCTGTTTTGGGAGCAGCCTTGTCCGGGGCGAGGTCCCCACTGCCCTGCTTTGCCTGTCTCCTCCCCAGGTACAATTTTGTGATGCTGGCCCTGTCCTCCTCATTCCTGGTGTTATCCTATCTCTTGACCCGTTGGTGTGGCAGCGTGGGCTTCATCTTGGCCAACTGCTTTAACATGGGCATTCGGATCACACAGAGCCTTTGCTTCATCCACCGCTACTACCGAAGGAGCCCCCACAGACCTCTGGCTGGCCTGCACCTGTCACCGGTCCTGCTCGGGGCATTTGCCCTCGGCGGTGGGGTTACTGCTGTTTCAGAGGTGAGACTCCCTGAGCCATCATGCCATATGCTCCTGCAGCTGCCCCGCTGTCCCTCCCGCTAGGCCTCCCCTTCCTGCCCTGCCTGAACCAACTAGACAAGGATTTGCCCCCTCCTGTCCCTTCCCCAGGCCTCTAGGGCAGCATCTTCTGATAGATGTGACAAGAGAATGTTGCCATTAGGGAGAGAATGGACCCGCAGTATGGCTGTTATACCTTTTATCTGACTTAGAAGCTGGAACCACAGCGGCCTTCCCTGGCTGGTCCCAGAGGAAGGAGGTATAGACTGAGGAACGGGCACTGACAATTGTTTCTTTCCCAGGTGTTCCTCTGCTGTGAGCAGGGCTGGCCAGCCAGACTGGCACACATTGCTGTGGGGGCCTTCTGTCTGGGAGCAACTCTCGGGACAGCCTTCCTCACGGAGACCAAGCTGATCCATTTCCTCAGGACTCAGTTAGGTGTGCCCAGACGCACTGACAAAATGACGTGACTTCAGGGAAGCCTGGACACCTGAGGCACCTGGACCAGCTATGGGCGGTTCTGTGGGTGCAACACATATTCTGTGTAAGAGCCCCCCAAGGGCTCTGCAGCGGAGTGACAGCAAGCCCGGAGGTGAGGCACCAGAGAGAGCATGAGACACCTGTGACCATTCAAAGTCTGAAATGTGGAGGAGTTTCATTTTTAAGTGAAGACCAAAAAGCCCTTTAAAAATAATAGAGTTTTTTCATCATTTTATTTTCTCTTTTACCAATGTACTCATTCCTTTTGAGTGTGATTGGCCTTTGGAGCTACATGCTCCAACAAACTATGTCTTAATTGTTAATAATTATCTGGCCCAGAAAAAGAGATGCAACGATTTTACCCTTCAGAGGAATTTTGAACTTCTTCTGTTAAAGAGAGAGCGAGACCTCTCTCTTTCATTCACCACGTGAAAACAGAGTGTGACCCTGAAGTTGTGGCTTTCTCTGTGTCAACACTGTGGTCTGAGTTTTTAGAGAAGGAAAAATGCTACTCAGTGAGAAATCCAAGAAATGAAACCAGAAAGGTTTTCAGATCACATTTCCCAGAGTGAGTTAGGGAGAATCTTGCCTGTCGTGATCACACTGTTCCCCGCTGCCCCGGGTCAGCACATACTTGACCCAGAGTGGGCTCTCAAGATTTGTTAACTGAAGGGTGGGTGAAAGCTGGCTAGAGACTCCTGGCCTGGCCACCTGCAAGAGGCGGACTTTGAAGAAAACTGTGATCCAGTTGAGCCACTTTGTCTCTGAAGGGAATACTGCTTTGCAGCTTTCTGTAACTTCTCACATGGGAATTGCACTGGTGACAGATAAGATTTAACAGATGTATTTTTTTATCTTCAGAATAAGACAGGGCAAACTCTATATGGCAAGTATTACTGAGTCAGGCCCCTCCTGCTGATCCATTATTTCCAGCACTGATCAATATAACCAAATTCCAGCCCCAGGACAAGAGTGGCAGGCATGGGGGCCTGGTGCTGCAGGCTACAGTGTGAGCCCAGGCATTCTGCACCTTGCAGCCTGCACCCTGCAGGTGAGATCATGAGCAGTGTTCTGGAGTGTAAAGTATTTTTTCTTTTTTCATTAATATATTAATTCCTTTTGGATATTAACCCCCCTCAGAACTACATGCACAAACTATAACTTGGATGTTAATAATCCTCTCACTCAGTGCCCCAAACCTTCTGTGTGTACACCCAGAGAGAGGGCCAGTAAGGGCAACTGCTATCATGCATTAAAATGCATGTATTTAAATCTGCTTGCCCAGAGCCAGTACCCAGGGGCTAAGGATCAAGACCTGTCAGTACACCGGCCGGGCGCGGTGGCTCAAGCCTGTAATCCCAGCACTCTGGGAGGCCGAGACGGGCGGATCACGAGGTCAGGAGATCGAGACCATCCTGGCTAACATGGTGAAACCCCGTCTCTACTAAAAAATACAAAAAAAAACTAGCCGGGCGAGGTGGCGGCGCCTGTAGTCCCAGCTACTCGGGAGGCTGAGGCAGGAGAATGGCGGGAACCCGGGAGGCAGAGCTTGCAGTGAGCTGAGATCTGGCCATTGCACTCCAGCCTGGACGACAGAGCCAGACTCCGTCTCAAAAAAAAAAAAAAAAAAAAAAAGACCTGTCAGTACACCAAGACTGGGGCCCAGTCACCCTGGCAGGTTTTTATCTACTCAGAGGGAGAACGCTTTGCACTAAGCAGGAGAAAAGCAGCTAAATGCAAGGTGTCCTGAGCAATTAGAGGACCTCCAAAGCATGGCCTCAGTCATGCCTTCATAGGGCAAGGTCAGGCCAGCTCAGAAAAATGGATGGTCCCATGGGGTCAGGTGGAGCACACACAGAAGGCAGTCCTCCTTCGCTCCCATGTCCGTTCTCTGTCCTGGCATCCACAGAAAGGGCCCTTCAGTCCTCATGAGCTGCTTCTCTGCAGCTGCTGATCACCCTCCCAGAACCCTGCCCCTATCCCATGCCCACATGACCCCAGACTCAAGCATGATCCTCATTCTACCTGCCTCGGAATCACCTGGATTGCAAGTCAGAACGTGGCTTCCCCGGACCCACTCCAGGCCTTCAGGGTCTCTGTCTCCCAGTAGGAGGGCTCTGAGATTGGCTTTTCTGACAAGCCCACATGGCTTTGATGCCACCAAGGTTGACATGCCCCATTGTCTTCCTTCACAACAGGCCCAGGACCAGTCATGCTCATGCCTGTTCTCTGCTCCAGAAACAGAGCTGCTGTTCCACCAGCAGCCTTGTGACTCTGTGGCCTCTGGGAGCAGGACTCCCCAGGCTTATACTCTCTCAGCTTGAGAGAGGGTCTGTGTCTGAAGGCAGTGCTGTCATCCCTCCCCTGCTGTTGGCCTAATGATGCTATCAGGGCCAGCTCCTCTTGAAAGACAGCCAGCTGCGAAGGCAGCCCAGGGCTTCTTCCCATGTCCTGCTTCCCTGTGTCTAGGGAGTGTCGTGCCTGTGGCTGCGAGTTTTCCCAGGACTAGCACCTGCCACCTGGGCTGTCAGCACTTTGGCAGCAGGTCCTCTGCGGTTCTCTGCCTCTGGCACCTCCCTAAAGCTCAGCTGAACCTGACCAGGCCTCTGGCATTTCCCCTGCTGGACCCCCTAGAGCCACACGTGTTGCCTCAGGGAGCTTGCGTACATGTGGGCCAGCCTGCCTCGCTTTACCCAAGCAGATTTGGGGAGAGAAATCATACTTTTGGCTTTAAATACCACTTAAAATATCGTGAGGCTACTTCTCCATGGAAACAAGTCTCTGAGGCACAACCTTTATGAAAGGAAGGAGTCTTCGTTAGTGAGAAGAACAGTATCTCTGACTTCCTGTGCTCCTCTGGCCACCAGTAAGTGTGGGTCACTTCAGATTTGGCTTGGGATCTCTCAGTGGGGAGCTGCTGCTGCACTGTTTAATGCTTACCTGACGGCAACTTCTGGCTCTGGAGCCACTACTCTGCCCTGCTCCCAGCCACTTCCCAACCTGATTCAAGCGGGGCCCCTCCTTCCTCCTGTCTTTATTCTTTTCTTTTCAGGGACAAGGTCTCACTCTCTCCTCTCACCCAGGCTGGAGAGCAGTGGTGTCATCATAGCTCATTGCAGCCTCAAACTCCTGGGCTCAAGCAATCCTTCCACCTCAGCGTCCTGAGTAGCTGGGATCACACGTGTGTGCTATCTCACCCAGCCTATTTCTAATTTTTTTTGGTAGAGACTGGATCTCACTGTTGCCTTGAACTACTGGGCTCAAGTGATCCTCCTGCCTCAGCCTCCCAAAGTGCTGGGATTCCAGACCAGCCACATTTTTTTTTTAATCATGCATTCCTGTTGCTAGTTTCACATCAGTCCCCTTAAAAAGAAATAAAATATTTTCTTTACACTTTTGTAAAGACCTTTCTTCTTTCATACCCCTTCTCCCTCCAAAAGGGACAAAAAATCTTTAATTTCATAAGAAGGGTGGGTAAGTAACTTGAGGATGTGAACCTTTGGTGTTTCTCAACTGGAACGTTTCTCCCTCCATTGACGTTGTAGCTGGGACTGGGCTTCTTGACTTTGAAAGAGGGGTGGTGTCCTGGCCTGTGCCACAGAGCCTCCTCTGTCTGAGACAGAAAGGCCTGGCGTCTCCTTTGCTCTTCTCCCCGTCCCGTCTTAAGCTATATTTCCCGTTGTTTGCAGGACTTCTCTCCTATCTTCTCCGTCTGGCCTGGTCCTTGTTTTGTTTTTTTTTAATTAAATGGCCATTCCTTGAGAAGTCAGGACGAGTTTCAGCGCAGAGCAGGGCAAGTGTGTGATTTCAGGGGCTCTAGGACAGCGCCTTCCCTCTAATATCTTCCTCCATCAGGCGATAGAATTTCCTTTCACCTGGTCACAGGCTGCTATTCCAGAATTAGAGAGGATACTGGAAATTCAGATTCCACAGAGAACTCAGTGACTCATTCACACTAAGATGTAAAATAACCCCATCAAGATTTATTTCCTTTTTGTTCTCTGGTGGGAGGAAAAAAGAAAAAAGAATTATTTGCCAGGCCAGGCGCTGTGGCTTAACACTTTGGGAGGCCGAAGCAGGATGATCGCTTGAGCCCAAGATTTTGAGACCAACCTGGGCAACACAGGGAGACCTCATCTCTACAAAAAAAAATTAAAAACTTTTTTTTAATGGGGCATGGTGGCATGCACCTGTAGTCCCTACATGGGAGGCTGAGGTGCAAAGGATTGCTTCAGCCCAGGATTTCGAGGCTGCAGTGAGCATGTTCGCACCACTGCACTCCAACCTGGGCGACAGAGCAAGAAACTGCAACTGAAAAAAAAAAAAAAAAAGAAATTATTTCCTAAGCAGCTTTTGATGTTGAGGAAGAAACAAAGCAGGAGCTGAGAGCATCCAGAACCTGGAGGAGGAGGGGCTCAGGTGAGAGGCTGGGCAGGCCCAGAAGTGGGGAGCTGTGAGTGCTGCTGTGTGGCCTCTGGGATGGATGGAGTTCATTCCCAGTGGGAAATCAGGAGCAGCATGATCCCTGGCCTAGTCTTAGAAGAGCCATGGCTGAAAACGGGGTGGGGACTAAAGAAGAGAAAGAATCCGAACAGGGGACACCCTTCATATATTTTATTTATTTATTTATTTGTTTGTTTGTTTATTAAGACAGTCTCGCTCTGTTGTGCAGTGGCGCGATCTTAGCTCGCGGCAACCTCTGCCTCCCAGGTTCAAGCAATTCTCGTGCCTCAGCGTCCCAGTAACTGGGACTGCAGGCATGCACCACCACCCCCGGCTAATTTTTGTATTTTTAGTAGAGACGGGGTTTCACCATGTTGGCCAGGCTGGTCTGGAACTCAAGTGACCTCAAGTGATCTGCCTGCCTCTGCCTCCCGAAGTGCTGGGATTAGAGGCATGAGCCACCTTGCCTGGCCTCCTTCACATATTTATACACTCCCGCTCTTTGTGGGGGCCAGGCGCCGATGGCAAGTGAGGTGGGCATGCAGGGGGCTTGCTAGTGAGGGGCGCTCCCACCAGCAGCTCGATCCTGAGCACCTTTGGGAGCTGACCCACGGACTCATGAAGCTGCTTGCACAAGGTTCTTAGTGGCCCTAAGGAAGAGTTCTGGAAGGCACACTGGCAGCCAGGAGGCCTGTGGAGCCTGTCAGAAAGGACCAGATTTGGAAAGAAGATGAGCCAAGACCCAAGTATTAGGGGTCCCCTAGGAATTTATCAAAGACAATGAAACACAGAAAACTAGAAAAAGCAGCTGAAGGCTGGGTGTAGTGGCTCACGCCTATAATCCCAGCACTTTGGGAGGTTGAGGCAGGTGGGTCACCTGAGGTCAGGAATTTGAGACCAGTCTGGCCAACATGGTGAAACCCCGTCACTACTAAAAATGCAAAAATTAGCCGGGCATGGTGGCAGGTACCTGTAATTCCAGCTACTCAGGAAGCTGAGGCAGGAGAGT